ATAAAAAAAAAAAAAAAGTAAAAGGATACACGCGGAATTGCGCGAGAAAATTCGATCTAACGAATTTTTTTTTTTTTGATGCATTATTTATGATCGCCAGTGTATAGGACGAAATTAAAGTATTAATAGAGGGCAGTAAGTTGTCTTCACAAAAACCGGATCCCCAAAAACCTGGCAAGGGACATCATATGTAGCTACTATTAAACGAAACGATGAATTTAAGCAAGCAACTGAGGAATACCTCCAAGATAATGAACCTGTTTTCTATGAAGGAATGGAGGATAGAGCATGGAATACTTATTATAAAGATAATATCGAAAAAGCATAGGCTTTTAATTTTGTACATAGGGCTTTGTCCGAGGAGAATCTAAACAAGGAGATTTCTCTCGAGATATTTAGTTTAAAACATAAACATATTTTGATATGTTTTTTTTTTCTACAATTCCATCTTCTAAAATATTAGCTAATAAACATCGCTGTCCTAAAAAAATTAATAATTTTCAAAAAATAGGTGCCAACTTTTGTATGATGTAAAAGAGTAGTAAAATTCAAACGCGTCGTCATGTATTTTATATATAATAATCTTTAAATTTTCATTTCTTTAAAATAAATATTATATACTTTATTTTTTTATAACTACATGTACATTTTCACTATCTGCTTTTAAATATATTGTTATATGAACGAGGTTTAAAAATTTTCGAGTTGATACAATAAATTCTATAACTTCTAAACAAATACTATTAGTACTGTACACCCTTACTAAATACGTTTAATATCTAAACATGTCCATGAGAATTTGAAGAGGTTTCATGATGTCTATCTGTACCGTTTCGAGACGCGTCAGTATTTGATACTTCAATTTCTTCAGCAATCTTATCTTTATTTTCAGTTTCGTCGCGTAATTGTTTATGCCACATCTCATAATAAACACCTATTAATTAAAATTATATTTAGAAATTTAATACATGTTAAAATTAATATTTATTTAGATTAATGTTTATATTGTAACGCATTTATTACCTTCGGTATTTTTGAGAAGTTCATCATGAGTGCCCTAATAAAAATGTAAAAGTTATTGTAAGCATTGAATATCTTGTATTTCAATATTTGTAAATAAGTTCGAAAATAATTAGAAATTAAGTTTACCTGTTCTGCTACTTCACCATCTTTAATGCTATACAAATTATATAAAGCTTTTGTAGTTAACTTAAACTGTAATTGTTAGTGTTAAACGATAATAATAATAATAAAAAGAATCTAACCAAAGAATCATGTCAGCATTAACGATAGTACTCAGACGATGTGCAATAACCAATGTTGTACGGTCCTTAGTTACACTTGCTAGTGCATGCTGAATCTGTCTTTCTGTAGTGGTGTCAAGGGCAGACGTTGCTTCATCAAGTAGAATAATCTAGTTTGAATTTTTGATTGAAACATTTAGTTTTGTTTGGACATGAAAATTTTTATAGAATAATAAAAATAATATAAACCGCTGGATCCTAATAATAATTGTGAAAAACCAATATTATTTAGTGAGATTGGCAACAAATAACACCAAATAAATCAAAAAAAAACGCAAACCTTCAATATTGTTCTTGCAATTGCTACACGTTGTTTTTCACCACCACTTAAACGCAAACCACGCTCGCCAACACGTGTTTTATAGCCTTAAAAATTAAAAAATTATAAACCCATTTATTCTATATTTATTGCGCAAATTTTGTAAACAAATTAAATAAAATATACAAACCATCTGGGAATGTCAATATACGATCATGAATTTGGGCAGCTTTTGCAGCTTTATAGACATCATCTTCCGGTGCATTAATATTTCCATAATGAATATTGTATAAAATCGTATCGTTAAATAAGACAGTATCTTGAGGTACAACGCCAACATTTCTTCTCAAACTTTCTTGTTTGACAAGTTTAATGTCTTGACCATCGATAAGAACACGACCAGATCCAACATCATAGAAACGGAACAAAAGTCGAAGAATGGTCGATTTACTATGATGTAAACAAATGCAAATGAATTTAATAAAATGTATTATATTTCAATATCAAAAGAAAAAAAATTTCATACCCGCCACCACTAGGTCCCACTAAGGCCACAGTTTTTCCTTTAGGAATTGCAAATGAAATATTTTTTAACGCCGGATGTCTTGGATCATAAGAAAAGCTAACATTATCTGTGTTATATATTAATAATAGAAATTAGTATAAGATATTATTCATAACAAATACAAATTGAAAGTAATAAATTTACCAAATACAACAGCTCCTTCAGTGACTTTTAGATCAGGGGCGCCAGGTACATCTTGAACACTTTGTTGTTCCTTGAACAAGTCCAACATTTTTTCCATATCAACGAAATTTTGTTGAATCATTCTATAATAGGTGCCAAAGAAGTTGAGCTGTTCATGGATTCAAAATTGTAAATATCATATAATACGATTAGAAATAGAAAATATAAATAATGAATAGATGAATAATAAAAACGACGTAAAAATTTACCGGAGAATATAATTGATTAATATATGTCACGAAAAGAATAAAGTCACCAACAGTGAAGATACGTTGAGTGACCTTATAAGAGCATAACAAACAACCTGACAACAAGCCCATGGTAATCACAAGGTTTTGACTAATATTGAGAATATTAAGTGATGAAGAGACTTTATAGTCAGCAACTTGATATTTTTGAATCGCATCATCATAACGTTGAACTTCATATCGTTCCGCATTATAATATTTAACAGTTTCGAAATTTAAAAGTGAATCAACTAAAAATTAAATGCATAAAAAAAAGATTAAATTAAAATTATAAAAGTTATCAAAATAATTATTATTTATTAACGTACCAGCTTTAGTTCGAGTATCATTATCTAATTCAATCATTTCACGTCTGAATTTTGTTCTCCATTCAGTAATAAATACAGTTGCAAAGATATATAATGACATAGTAACAAATACTATTAAACCAAATATCCATCCAAATTCAATAACAAAGAATATAACTGCAACTACAATGTCTACAATTACAGGAAATATCTGGAATAATATTTGATTCAATAATGAAATAATACTATTGGTTCCACGGTCCATAACTCGCAATACTTCACCAGTTTTACGATTTATATGATATGATAAGGAAAGGCTAAAAAATTACCAAGAAAAAAATGGATAATGAGTATATAAATAAAGGGAAGAAAAAAATAAATAAATAATAATAATAATAATAATAATAATATCAACGTTAATTACCCATGCAAATGCTCAAACATCTGAACAGAAATCTCACGAGTTGTATACTAACATGTTTTTATAAAGTAAAATTAGCTTATGAAATTTATGAAATAAATATAATTTAGAAATAATTTAAAATTGAATCGTACTTGACCAATAGGAATCCATAAATAATTCTGAGCAGCTTGAATTAAACCAACACCACTTTGTAAAAACCTCAGAAAAGCGTAAAAAAGAATTGCTTCCCATGGGAATCTCGCTAAATGCATGCACAAGACAAAAATTAATATATAAATTCATTTTTAAGATTAACATGAGAAACAAATTGTATTATTACCAACTTCACCGGTTAATTCATCAGTAATAACTTTAAGTTGCTTTGGAACAAGTACATTAACCACACGTCCAGCGATCAAAAGGCCAAAACATATAAAAACCAAAAATTGAAGAAAAGGTTTTTTATTTGGCCATAAGAAAGGAAGAAGACGTAACATCTTTTCATAAAAATCAGATAAGCTGCTTTTCTTGGATTGATTTTGTTGAGTTGATTGAGAAGCATTTTCACCTTCACCTGAAGGAAAAGTGCCATAAGACGAAGAATTCTCGAGCAGACTTCGTTCAGCATCTTCTTGGTCCAAAGAAAGTTGAAAAGCACGAAGCAATGATGCCATGCTAGCAATGATCAAAGCAACATAACGGACAACAAATATACAGAAGAAAGCGAGGTCATAATTTGAAGCAAATTTACCTAATGAAGATATTTTATTAATATAATAATTTATACAATACAAATAAATATATAATAATTAAAACAAGAATAAATCGAGATTATATAAATTATTTAGAGAACTTACTTGAATCGCCATTAAATTCCGAGAACCAAAGAAAGAAGATTGAAGCTTCACCAGCTAATGATACCCAATAGAATAGATAATTTACCCAAGACCATTTGCCAACATTTTGCCTTTCTAATGCCATTAAGCACATATTCAGAAACCAGGCAATTAAACAAACAACATCATAAAAAACTATTACAGTTGAAGTCCATGTTTTTGATTCAAGGGCTCTAATCATAACGACTATACAATCAGCAAAATATGATAAAAGTATAATGTTACTAAAACCATAAATGGCTCTAATTAAAGGAGTAAGACGTCTTCGTAATTGTCTATCATCTAGAAGGACATAACTAGGTAAGTTTCGAAGGGTATAAAAATACCGATAAAGGCCAAATATTATAATATAAAGTAAAAGAAATGAAGGATAAATAATCATTTCTCTTACAACACATGGATTATAAATTCCGGACTCGGGAGGAGCCGGACAAGAGAATAGAACCTCCCACATGGTAGAAAGAGTTTAATATTGTAAAAAATCAACTTTTTTTGATCAACAGCCCTGTCTTTATATGTTTTTTAAGTAGTATTACACTACTTAATTTATCATACGATTGGGCGATGTCGGATAAATAAATGAGAAACATGTTACCGTTACATTATGCCTACATTGTCATTAAGGTTAGTAATATTATTTTAGAATAATCGATCTACCATGAATATTACGTATATACGTACATACGTAGGTATATACGTAATCGCCGGATTCGCATTGCACAAGGCTCTGCTAATAAAGTCGTTTACGTTTAGCGTTATTAGAAAGATCCTAGATCGGGTGGACGACCAATAAATACGTAATATTTTAATAATAATGTGCATAGCTGTACATATGTACCGATATCTTTGCAGAAAGGATGAACGCCACACATGCAAAAAAATATATATAAATAATTATCGTTATAGTTTCGAGATTTTTGATGCTTTGTGAAAGTACAAGTTTATTATGATTCTGAATTACAAGGAAGCCTTCCTAAATTCAGCTCCAATATATGTTCTGAGTGAAGGATATTTTATATACAAAACTAAAATACGCTAGCACTATAAGTTTTATTAAAGGAAAACTTTTTCCGAATTTCTAGAAATTTCTGGTCTATGTTGAGAACATTAAATTACTGCAGACTGTATATGATCGCCCAACATGATTTCACACTAATCAGTGAAAAAAATAAACAAGTTTCCGTTATTTCCCCGGTAAACCGGGAAATAACAAGCACATGTTTTTTGTTCTTTTAAACCATTATCATGACAAATAATGCCCTTTGTTTTCCACTACGGGGAAATAATCCAGGCGTTCAAATAATCGGGGAAAAAAATACATTTATCTGCGTTAATACGTAAATGCTGCGACTATTAAAGTAAAATAATCACATCTAATGTTAGTGTTAAAAACTAAAACATTGTACTTACATATGTGAAAGCAACAGAGCTAATATTACGTAGTAACACCTCTAATAATAACTAGCGTAGTTCAGTAAGTCAAATAGACGTCATAGGGGTCATTCTTTACGCAAAATGCAATTGAGTGGTCTGTTAAGAAAAAAAAACCATCAAGAGACTAAAATAATCATTTAAACATTCATAAAACAAAGTTTGAAGCACTTTACATTTTGAATTATAAATACTTTTATTATTTGATTCATCGTTTGATTCTGAAATGTCAAAAGATGCTTCAAGTTTCGCAGAATTATGCACTGCAGTACCTTGGCATTCTAGCGTGATTTCTGCGATTGGTCAATATATATTAATAAAAAATAATTCGAACTTTGAATAGTACTGAAAGCACTGCTTTCATAATATTATCCCTAATTTTATTATTATTAATTTTTCTTGGTTGCATCGAACTCTCATATTGTATAAGGCGCCATTGCGCCGTTGTGCTACGTATGCCTAAAATATAGATGAATGCAAATATAGCTAAATATCAATATTAAATATCTAGATACATTAATGTATGTTTCTTTGTAAAGAACTGCTTTGATCATTCCTTTAAGTGAAAACCGAGGTTATTATAGATTGATAATCTATAGATTTAATTTGGAGTTTTTTTATTTTTAAGTGGCGTTGAAAAGGTGACAAACAAAACATTTGTCACAATTTAAAAAAACAAGCTAAAAAAAAACAAATAAAATCAATAAAACCCCTAACTGTTAAATACTTTTACCGTTGATTGAAATACTCGGGTGTTCAAGGACGGGTTGATAACTGTTAAGGGTGAATCTGAAAGTAAAGTTTTTTAAAAAAAACCTCTTTAACATACTTTTGGTTTATAATTAAACCACTGAAATACCATAAATCTCAGTTTATATAAAAGTTTGCTTTGTAATAATTTTAAGACGCATCTAATTGTAACATGTTGCTACATGTTGTTACATGCGTAACCTAAACCCTAAGTCTAACTGTTATTGTAACAGTTGTAAAATTTTTAGTATCGGTATAATCCTCAAATAATGATTGGTTGAACCAAATCGGTTGGTATGTTGATTTCTCTGGTTTTCACTTGAAGACATTTATTTCATAACTGCTCTTAGATTGAAACTTCACCTATTAGTCTTATTTTTGCTTTCATTTTGATCATATGTTTACTTAAAAAACTGTTTATACATGTTTGGCGTTTTTAATCGAAATTAAATGGTTTATTTGTTTATTTGTTTATTTTTTTTTTTCATGACGCTACGCTAAATTAAATGAATGTTTTTGCCTATCATTTAAATACCGGTATAATGATTACAAACTAAAACATATCAACGGATTTGTGGAATTTGATAAATAGAAACACAAGCCGTAACTCTGGTCAAATTTACAAATTAACTTCAAAGCTGGCCAAATGATCTGCAAATTTTATCAGAGTTACGGCTCATGGGTTTTCTGTTTATCAAATTCCTATCAATAAAAACATAACTTTTTTGTCACACAGATTGTTAATACGTATACAGATACGTTGACAGTCCTACTTTGGCGAGTCTGTCGCTTGAACGAAGGCGGCTTCGTGTAACCAAAGTCTAGGTTAGGTTGAGTCGAAAAAAGGCGTGTTAGATTTGGTGAGTGGTTAATGAACGAATGTGTATATTTTATAATATGTGACTTAGGTACTTTATTAATTAGGTAAAACGGGAGGTAGTTCTTCCCGAAGGGCCAAGTAGGCCTTTATTTATAATTAATCGCTATCTATTTTTACATGCATTATTACTAGAATTACTCTTATTACTGCATTGCACGTGTCTGCCGTCAGGTATGTTATACGCAAAAATTTCCATCTTCAAATTTGCTCCATTGTGATTGGCTGGAGCTGGGAACCGAGGTGGAAGCCTTCAAGCCAAAGATTATTAGAAAAATGTAATATTAAAAATAATAGGAATTCATAAAATTTAAATATGTACTATTTTAAATTTAATTCTATAAAAATTGTAAGACCTAAGAATTGAGGCTCCAGTCTATAAAACGTCGCCGTTTTTCTAGTTTTAAATCACTCTAAAATACATTTCTGAATTTTCAGGCTTTGATAAACAATCATTGCCTAAATGTATGCTAAGTTTTCTTTAACAAAAATTACCAGCTTCCGATTTAGCAAGTTCTTCGTTTTGCGTATGGATTTTAAATAATTAATAATTAAAAAATTAAGAAAAAATAAAAAAAAACAAGTTTTTTTTAACAAAAATTACCGGCTTTTAGTTTAGCGATTTCTTAATAACTCGCAACTCTATTATCAAATCAACGTAATGATTTTTAGATCCACCAACAAGGTGGTATTGTCCTGTAACTTTACCACCTTTATAATTGTTAGATTAAAAAATCCTCTTACAAATTTATAGATTAGAACCTTCCTGGGGTGCTTTCCACTGGGGTAGGGTTTACCAAGGAATTTATATTGTCAACCAATGCTTCTTCTTCGGAGACAACTATAAGTTATAAATGCATGTAAATTCCATTCGCTAAGAAAGTAGGAATCATCATTTTCTAGTTGTTACTGAAATAACGGGTATAGAAGTAAGTTCCATAACAGAATTTTTACAATAACGCAAAATAGAAATCATGATGATTCCAATATCGATACTAACTAATTAACTAACTTAACATACTATGAATAATCAGTAAGCAGAATTTTGATTTGATTTCAAGTTGAATTATTCGACTGATACCTAAAACAATAACCTGGAGGTTCTTCGCCAATTTGTCTATCTTTTCCTCGGATTAACATTTCATTTTCATCCGTGTATGTGAGATTTATTTTTCTTTCTGCCTATTGAATTATCACAACTTTTTAATATAAATAAAAAAAGTTACATGTGTCATTATTGACCTCTTTGTTATAATTATGCTTCTATACTATATCGTAATAGTAATTATACCTTTGTGATTGTGTCTGGAGTTTCAGCTGACTATTCTCTGATTTTTGATTCAACGATCTCTAAATGTAAATTATTAATTTTGAATTTTTTTTTTTAATTTATAACATATGTCGCGGATGATGGTGAAATCGGATGATCGTGAAATCTGGGGCCTTGATTTAAAAATATAAACCCTACTAAACCCCACCTATCCTCTTTTATTTTTAAAAATCGTATATTGAATAGGGTTTGATTTCACGATCATCCGTGACAATAAAAAATTAAAAAAAAAAACTTACTTAAGTTCAAAATTTTGCAATTGTTAAAACGTTTAACCAGGACCTTGATCAATAAAATTCTATAATATATCTAATGTTTAACTCTTAAATAATTGTTTTTAATATTAATAAGAATTGCATAATTTTAACAATTGGTTTAAACAAATTAAACCAAACAATCATGTTTTTTAAAGTTATGCTTTAAAATATTTACCACTCCTGCTTGATTTATATCTTTTCATAATTAACAGACAATTAATAGAGCGTATTTTATCGTTACATTTGATATTTTTGGCCATATATGTTTTCTCATAAAATTTATAAATTGATGAGATTTGATAGGTTATAAATTTACGTTCGCCGTCCATCGTGGGGTTAATATCAACTAGATTGTAGCTATGAGTTTAGGATAATATCAGCTACTGCATTTCAATGGTTTAGGTTTTTCTTTAATTGTCTGATTGTTTTCTGGTATCATATGATTAGCGCAATGAACGCAGTAATAAAGTGAGATCAAAATTGCAGCTTTGTTTTTTATTTACTGAGTGCGAAAAAAAAATAGAGAAAAAGTGAAAATGAAGAATGAATAGATTATAGAGAGTGAAAAGGTGTTAAGAGTAAAGAATATTTAGAGAAGAAAGTTAAGGGCGTAAAAAGAGTAGATTATTCAAATTGACTCTCCATAACTTACTCTTTTTTTTTATACCTCATCCAAAAGAGACGCCAGTCGGCGTAACTTAATTTACTTTTTCTATGTAACTATAGAATAGATAATCTTAATTTTTGAGCTTACATGGTATAAACTCATGAAATGTGAAAGAATCAAACTAGCGATTTTTGAGCTTACATGGTATAAACTCATGAAATATTTAGGAAAGAATCAAAATCGCGAGTTTGATCAACGTGAGTTTTGTCGCGTTGGCAAAATTTCCGAACATTTGAACTGTCACGTGATAAGTGATCGTGGTTTATTTATTGAAGGATCACTAATAAAGCACCTACGACAAGGAATTCCTTCTCACATTTGATGAATCAAGTAAACATTATGGAAAGAGACTGTGTATACATTACAAAGAGGATGGAACACCTTATACGGAAATGGAAATGTTTCCGAATGGTAAATATTCCAATAGAGTTTTAGATTCCCTTTGTGAATGCAAGGGAGGTAAGCAATGAATAATATAAAACTAATCCCACAAAATACCTCATTTCTTATATTTCACCAAACTTATTGATCGGACTAAAAATGCTATTGAAAGGTATAATATATACTGTGGCGCACGACCTAAAATATTCGAGGATATCTTCATTGATGGCGACTTTTTTTTTTTGCAAAATGCCTAGGTATTATCCATGATAAGAATATAACCGTGTAAAATATCCGGACGCGGCTCGAAATAGTGAGTTCCACTGAAATTTTAATCATAATAGTGTGGTTTCGAGTAATTGAAGTTGCTATTATATACCAATTAATAACTGCCTGATGCACATGGTACTTAAGTACGAGGTTAGGATTACAAATCGCCAACATCCTATTTTTACAAAAATTCCAACTAACAGTGGGTGTTGTAAATAAAATTTATTGGAATTCTGACTGAATTTTAATAGTTCTGAAAAAAAAAGTTTATTATAACAAATTATTATTTCATATATTAAACTAATACGCATTTAAAATTTTACAGTTTTTTACGTGTATAAAGTTTATTGGTCTTTATGAGATCATGCATCAGGTAACTTTTTGCACAAAGTTTGCTTGAATTTTCGAATATCAAATACATTTTTGAAAATTGGAATCTTTTCAATTATTCAAATGCACAAAGTATTTACGTATTAAGTGTGATCAAGATCGTTTGTGAGAGAATAACGGGCCAGTGATTTGCAAAAATATTAAACATTAGACATTGTTATCCACGAAACATAATGTTAGATTTTTTAGCTTTAGCAATGGTAGCTTGCGAAAATCACCCATTAGTAAGATGGGCACGCGCGAGATTTGTAATAATAATATCTTGGGTCGTTGGGTATTTGTGGATTGATCCCAGGCAGTGATAACGGAAATACATGACTGATACTGATCGGCCGCGTAAGCGGCCGATCAGTATCAGTCATGTATTT